AATACTCAGTTTACCTCGGCTGACAGGAATACTCAGTTTACCTCGACTGACAGAAATACTCAGTTTAGCTCGGTTGACAGAAATACTCAGTTTACCTCGGCTGACAGGAATACTCAGTTTACCTCGGCTGACAGGGATAGTCAGTTTACCTCGGCTGATAGGAATACTCATTTTACCTCGGCTGACAGGAATGCTCAGTTTACCTCGGCTGACAGAAATTCTCAGTTTACCTCGGCTCACAGGAATACTCAGTTTACCTCGGCTGACAGGAATACTCAGTTTAACTCGGCTGACAGGAATACTCAGTTTACCTCGGCTGATAGGAATACTCAGTTTACCTCGGCTGACAGGAATACTCAGTTTACCTCGACAGACAGGAATACTCAGTTTACCTCGGCTCACAGGAATACTCAGTTTACCTCGGCTAACAGGAATACTCAGTTTACCTCGACAGACAGGAATACTCAGTTTACCTCGGCTGACAGGAATACTCAGTTTACCTCGGCTGATAGGAATACTCAGTTTACCTCGGCTAACAGGAATACTCAGTTTACCTCGACAGACAGGATTAATCAGTTTACCTCGGCTCACAGGAATACTCAGTTTACCTCGGCTAACAGGAATACTCAGTTTATCTCGACAGACAGGAATACTCAGTTTACCTCGGCTGACAGAAATACTCAGTTTACCACGACAGACAGGAATACTCTTTACTTCTTCGCAATTTCACCTGGTGAAGCGCTACCACTTACCTTAAGTATTATTTCCTTAAAGTAAAATATTTCCTTCAAATAATGCAAAGATTTGACTTCAACTGAATAAACATTTTTTTCCATACAAATAACGAAAGGATTTGACTTTAAGGATATTTTCAATAAGATTGAACGAGTCCTTAACTAAGCATACCAGTAAGGTAAAAAAAATGTACATGAAAATAATATTTACAGGTAGCAAATTTCGATCGTGACATCGCAGCTGGTTTTACATCCGAAGACGCCAGGCTGTTCGTTATGGCAACACAAAGCACCCTTGGTATCCGTAGCCATCAAATTTTGTGGATTGAAGAGATCGATCACGTGAACAGACAGGATCATCTCCGATGTTACCTAGAATGGAAAGTAAATTACTGGTGTAACGAGAATATTTCTAGTTTACGGGAAAGTGGCGACGGTTCCCGTAACACGAATCACATTTAATTTTAATAGAGTTACTCCCCCTTATACATTTAAAGTTCTGGATAACAAAAAAAAGCAAAGCAGGTAACGAGATAATATTTATGTACAAATTTTGAAAAAAACACCACACCCTCGTGAAAATAAAAACCTGCTTACAGCTATATATAGGCAACACATAGCGTCAACTCACTTGTACTGTCGATCTGTTATTTTATTTGTAAAATCATGTCACCAAATGGCATATATAGTATGTGTGCCGTTACAGTCAGTACCGTCATTGCTGTGAATGAAAAAGTCTTAAGGGTGGCAGAGTTATTTCCCTTTGTCCATTGTGAACAGCATCTGTATCGGTAGTGCGGTCGGCCATTGTACAAGCTCTTCTTCTTTTCTGGAAGTTTGTGATACCATAATGTAAGTTTTGTACCTTAGTAATGATTAACATGTTATTTTACTGTGTAATTGAGACTGTTATGCTATTGTCATAGAGATGTAACGATGTTAACTCTGGCATTGTCGCGATAAACATTGCTATATGTGGTTAATTCCGTCAGTTTAGTCAGTCATGTCGACCAATTACATTGTCCATGATAATTCATACAATTCTTGGGTCGAGTGACCTTTGGCGAATTATTAGTGAATCATTAGGGAGAGTTAATACTGTAATAATTACTGTTCAATATACTAATAGAAGTTCATTTCTATTTGTTGCAGTCCTTTACTTCAATACAACAATAAATTGCTACGCTCTAAAAATGCGGCAGACTTCGGGTTTTTTGTGTATCGCCCAAGGCCGAAACGTGCAGGCACAGTTTGTAAAAGCTATCCAACGCTCGTCTGAGTTTTTATTTGTATAGCCAATGCGGTAATATTCCTGACCACTGAAGAAATGGTGTGATATATTTTTATGCTATTGCAGTATATCAATATTATACCCCGAATGGACTTCCATGCCAAATATGAACACATATTGAAGAACATTAATGACTGGCAAGCCCCCAAAACAACAATATTCATATTTAGTTGAGGTAAAAAGGTAAATGTCGAAAAGATGTGATTGAATTTTAATTATACCGCATTGATATGAAACCTCACCTTCCTTCCAAGCATGAACGTTCTAGTGCAGTTTGTTTTAAACGGATGCAATCATGGCGCCATGGGTAAAACAAAACGTATCTTTCTGTTCTACCTCCCATTAATTTCGTTTTAAATATGACTATTACGCTAGTGGACCAGTGAAGACAATTTATTTGAGCGATAGCAATATTTAAGACATCAACAAACAGCAGCTAGATTTAAATATAATTAAAACTAAAGAGTTATTTGAGGGAAAATATTTTTCGGTAATGGCCGCCACTTATTGGCATATTTATATATTGTTTAACAAAAATAAACGCAATTGTTGGACATATGTGCATTTTCGATAAGCTATCCGAATTCTATTTATTTGGTTATATACCTGTACAGGTAATGAATTATGTCTTTATGTGAAATAAGCTTACATGTACTTTAAATTTCTGTTTGCAATACTTCTGTAAATACTTTCAACAAATATAGTACATCATAACATCTGTGGGGAGGGGGATATACAGTGAGCCAATTTAACATAAGAAGGGGATATATAATGAGCCAATTTAACATAGGGAGGGGATATATAGTAAGCCAATTAAACATTGGGAAGGGATATATAGTGAGTCAATTTAACATAGGGAGGGGATATATAGTGAGCCAATTAAACATGGGAAGGGGGATATATAGTAAGCCAATTAAACATAAGGAGGGGATATATAGTGAGCCAATTTAACATAGGGAGGGGATATAAAGTGAGCCAGTTTAACATGAGGACTGGGATATACAGTGAGCCAATTAAACTAAGGGAAGAGGATATACAGTGAGCCAATTAAACTTAAGGTGGGTATATATAGTGAGCAAATTAAACATGGGAAGGGGGATATATAGTAAGGCAATTTAACATGGGAAAGGGATATATAGTGAGCCAATTAAACATGGAGAGGGGATATATAGTGAACCAATTTAACATCGGAAAGGGGATATATAGTGAGCCTATTAAACATTTGGAGGGGGATATATAGTGAGTCAATTAAAATCTGGGGGGGGGGGATATATACAGTGAACCAATTAAACATTGGGAAGGGGATATATAGTGAGCCCAGATTCTTCACAAAATGAGCAAAGAGAAACTTTCGAATTAACTTCCAAAAATAACTCCCTCGTGGAGGTCAGGGTCGATTCACGGTGTTCACTGTATTTATCCATGCGCGAAATTTGTTCCGGGGAAAAATCGGAACAATTTAAAATCTAACTTTCAGCTCAGATTTCTATTGATAAACTTAAGTCACAATCACCCTATAGACATATCATATGCAATTGTATTGATACTGAATTGTGGAATGAAATTGAAGTGTTTGTTAAAATTTCAAAGTACTACTTTGTTTGCCAATCAGCACGCAGCAATACGCTGTTCAAATTATTGAACGAAATTGTGTGGACTTTCGATAAGGCGGGCATTTTTAATTTTTAATTTTTGAATATAAATTATAAGTTAAAAAAGAACATAAGAGGCACAGAAAACGTAAATATGGGTATTGAACTGTTTTTGTGTTGTATTTATGTTCTATTTGAATGACACAGCTTTGCAATCAAACAAATCATAATGCGCTAGCTAAAATAGTTTTAATTCTTTTACAGAATTTTTTATTGAAATTCAAGAAATCTAATTACATTTTTTAAAAACATCTCAAATTGAATTTAAAAATCTCAATTTCTTTTTTATGTACTTCTATTCCATTTAAACATATTTCCTTCACTTTTTGTAACCCTGTGTGGGCATTAAATGTTAAGTTACCTTGCCATATATATATATTCACAGTAGCTGATTACAAGTCATACAGAGTGCATGTGTACTGATGTGAATTAACAAAGTTTACCTGTTTCACGCAGACACATAGGCACAATAGAAAATAAACCAACATTTCGGAACCTCCAGTCTCCATTTTGAGGATATTCCTCCGCTTGGAATTGTACATGAGAGTTAAGGGCGAGGTTCGCTCCGTGCGGATACCTGCTCTCCTGGATAGCGATACACTAAACAAAGTTGACCTGATTTAATCTTTCAAACGTACTCATGATAAGATAATTTTGCTGTGTAAATATTGAAGATGACAAAACTAAATAGGATGTCAGGGGTTGTGACATGATAACACAAACACAAGAACATTTAAGTCTCTTAAGTTTGCCATACAATCAACTGTTATAAAAAGACCGATAAGCGCAAGTACGAATGTAAAGGCAGTGAAAACATTAGTTTTTGAATAAATTGTTAACATCGGGGGCAAAAAAAAACGAACTCGTGAAAATGGCACAACTGTTATGAGGAGATAACTCTATAGAACTCAATATATGAATATTATTGAGCGTAGAGCATGTTTGATCTCGTGTGTTATCTGTAAAACTGACTAGACGTATTCGTCACAACTCGGCAGATTCCGTCTAAGGGTCATATATTGGAGATAATTTACAAACATAGCGTATCCTAATCTTTTGATCTTGTTGGATCATGATGTAAAAATTCGTTTTTAGTCAATACATTATTGGATAAAAATTAAAATAATCAGTTAAAAATGTATATACTATTTAGATTCGCTTTGACAAAACATATTGCCATCATCCCCTCGCAACGAGGCTTTGTTTGTTTTGGGTTTAACTTCCCCGCAACAGCCAGGGTCATATGAAGATGAGTCGGCTCGCGACGAGGTAGTGGACACTCAAATAAGGTATTCTCAGTTTTTTTTAGGTTTGGCCAAATCATCACAAGAGCGATGGTAAAAAATACAATTTCACTTCACTTCGCGACTAGGTAGTGAAGGGTAACTGTAATACTCGCTTTTAACAACCCTTTTGTGGGTTTTTTTTTGTTTTTTTTTTATTTGACTAACCTCAAAACCCTGAGAATACCTCATTTAGGTGAGCGTTTCAGGAGGCCAAGGTCAAGGCTATCGTTACTGTATTATAGAAAGAAAATGTCATCGCTCTTGCGACTTTATTTATGAACGGATTTTGACCAAATTTTATATATTAATCAAGATGTCTTTTTAAAAAACCTGCAAGTGAATTCCCCAACACATGTTAACGGACATTTTGTTTGATCGTGATACGTTACACATGATGGAATCTTGGGAAATAAAACCTTTACAAACCAATACAAAAAACGCTCTACTCTTTAAAGTGAAATTAATGTGATTTACTCTGCCCAACACTGTAGTTGTAACTTGTGTTTCTCCCGTGACGTATTGCCTCCGTATTTACATATTGCCCCACTCCGTAAAGAATTTTATTGTCAAGAAAGTAAAATGTTTTACATGTGCAATACTGATAAAAATAAAATCGCATATTATAAGTAATAATCAGATGATGAAGTCGTTTTTTTCTTGTATTTTTTTAATTTTCAATTTCTATGTTACATCTACATCAAACAGACATTACACACATACTCTCACTTGTAGACAGAAGCACGAGTTTCTCAATCATTATCATCATCANCATCATCATCAACAACATCATCAATCTATCATCATCCTAGCATCATCATCAGCATCATCATCATCATCATCATCATCATCATCATCATCATCATCATCATCATCATCATCATCATCATAATGCATTCACTTTGACAAGCATCAAAAGCATAATTATCATCAATACACAAAGAAGAACATCATCATCAGCAGCAGCAGCAGCAGCAACCCCGTTCTCCTTTTAATTCTTGTCGTGCATCGGTACTCTTCTGGTCATCGGTACTCCTTGTCATCGGTACGTCTGGTCATCGGTACTCTTCTGGTCATCGGTACTTCTGGTGATCGGTACTCTTCTGGTGATCGGTACTCTTCTGGTCATCGGTA